TTTGGTTGGTTTTTGTGACAGGGTCTTTCTATTTAACTCTCTGACTGGTCTGGAACTTGCTATGTAGCCCAAGTTAGCCTTGAACTTGTTGTAAAAGGAGCAGTGGGCTGCATTCTCGGAGCAGCAGGCTGCATTCTCACCTGGATCCCAGCTAGCTTACCCCCAAAATAATTACATGGACTGTATTCTTTTAAACACTGCCGGGCCCATTAGTTCTAGTCTCTTAATGGCTAACTCTCACATCTTGACTCAACCCATTTTTAATAATCTGTATGTCACCATGAGGTCGTGGCTTACCGGGAAAGATTCAGCATGTCTGACCTGGCAGCTGGATCCATGGCATCTGCCTCATTGCCTTCTTCCTCTCAGCATTCTGTTCTGTATACACCACCCACCTATGTTCTGACCTATCAGGCCAAGCAGTTTCTTTATTAATTAACCAATGAAAGCAACACATAGAAAGAAGACCCACCTATGTGGTAAACACACTTAAAAACCTGAGAGGGCTTAAAAGGGAGAGAGAATTTAACACAGCTTTTTGCTGTTTGCTAGGGTATGCTGTAGAGAGATTTCCTGATTCAGCAACAGCAGCAGAAAAAAAAAGCTGCACCATTTTAAAACGCGGCTTCCTGGGCTGTGCCGCCAGTGCAAACTCTGGCTTTAAAGCATTTCAATGGTTTGTATGGGACTGGATGTTTGTGTGCCCGCTCGGGATTGGGAAGAAAGTACTCTGAGACCATGCCAATGGCTCAGGGCTCCCCACCTGCACTAGGGCAGACGGCAGAATCAGGCTTAGGCAGGCGGGAGAGCATGGCGGATTTCTGCCGCCATACAGAGAGATGTTTCCAGGCTGTGTACTGCTCTGCGTGTCAGATTTGACTGTAACTTGGATGAAAAGAGTTTCTGCGCTGCACGCTCAGTCTCAGAGTTAAACTGCTGAGTGCAGCTTCTACCTGGTGGCCCCAGAGCTGGCAGAAAATGGTACGTCCACCATTTTGAAATTGTAGAGAGGCAGAGCCAACATCCAGAGCAGCCGCAACCAAGCTACTCAGCATTTTAAAAGCTCTTCAAGACAGTAGAGAATTACAGGTTCACAATAGGACAGATTCAGACATAAAAAACCTCTAAATGTGTCACAGTGTTGGATGACTGTACATCGGCTTGGGAAAGAGAAGAAAAAGAATATAGAAAATAAAGTTAATGCCTTAAAAAAAGGGTAAAGTCTTTAAAGAGACAAAGTACAGATAGTTATAGATTAAAAGAAAAAAAAATAAGCCACGTAAAAATGGAAAATTCACAGAGAGTTTGAATTCTGTATATTGTGTTTTCTTTAAATTTTTTGACTGTGAAGGAGGTAAGTACAGAGAGACATTTTATTGTATAGGCTGCCAAGCTAAACCAGAATGGATATCATAAGGGTATAATGACTTCAGAATTTGAGCCTAAGAATATGATGCTTTGGAAAGGAGGTCCTTCTTTTGTTTACACAGAGGATGAGACCCTGTGGATTGCTTCTATCCCAATATGGTATGATAGACCACGCCCTCCTGAAAGGTTGCTGTAAACACCTCCAGAAAATTACTTCACTCAACAGCAGACTGAGATGAAGCTGGCACACAGGACACACCATAAAAGACCTGATTAACAGCACCTTTATATAGCAGGAAGTAGTATGGAGAGAAATAACTGAACCCATATTCCCAAATTTTGTTTACAAATGTTCTTTTACATTTAAAGGGGGATATGATAGAGATATGAATAATTTGCATTGTTATGGATTTTAAGGTCAATTTTGCTATATGTATATATATATATATATATTTCTGATCTTGATTGAGATAGTGCCATTATGTAGTTCATTTAAAAATGTAATGTATAATTAAAAATATAGGTTGTTAATGAATAATCATCGATAATAGTCAAGCTTCTAGTCATGTTAGATTTTCTAGATGTGCATAGATATATTTCAGATAGGCATTCTTTATATCTTTCAAAGACTACAGAATATGGCATTTAATGTTTTAATAACTTAGGGCTTTTCATGACAATGAGACACGTCTGCTCCTGGTAACACCAATCTACTTTGAGAGGAAGATGGGCATCGAAGAGGCTCCTTATGGAGTTGGTTAGCCATTTGGGCAAGAAACTGCTCTTGCCTGGACTAATGCATAAACTGGACACAAAGAATCCACAGAGAGAGGACTGCTGAACTTGCCTAAAGGTGAGAAGGTCTTTTGGGGTTCCTGATTCATGAAAGAATCTGTGAGACATTCTGCAGGATACAAAAGAAAGTAACTGAACTGTCTTTGAATTTTCCTGCTTCATGGAAAAGTCTGCTGGATACTATGGGCCTGTAGGCCGAAGATGGATGCCCCAACGGTACAGAAGAACTTTGGGTGACTGTCCAGGCAGCAAGATGTCTCTGTCATTTCTATAATTTGGAAGTTGCTTATTTCTTGTTTGCTTAGGTAATATTATATCCTTCTAGAGTCTTTGATGGAGTTGAAGAATAGATAGATAGTTATTATTTTCCTTAGTTATGATAAAAGATAAAGTAGATATAAATATTGTAACTGTAATTCTTGCTTGATAACTGTTTTGTTATATGTAATTTTACTATGTCAAAGTGAAAGCCTTTCTTTTTTGTTTAAACAGAAAAAGGGGAAATGATGTAGGAGGGTCTTCTTTCTATGTGTTGCTTTCATTGGTTAATTAATAAAGAAACTGCTTGGCCTGATAGGTCAGAACATAGGTGGGTGGTGTAGACAGAACAGAATGCTGGGAGGAAGAAGGCAATGAGGCAGATGCCATGGATCCAGCTGCCAGGTCAGACATGCTGAATCTTTCCTAGTAAGCCACGACCTCACATAGTGTAAATTGAAGTTTTGTATTTACTCAAAGTTCTAAAACCCCCAGGAAGTGGCTCTACCTCAGGAACTTCAAGTGGAGTGTCCTAGTCAGGTTTCAATAGGACGGCAGGGCCCAGAATATTCTAGAGTCCCAGAGCTGCGAAGAGACCAAGTCAAGAACCCCAGAGTCTTTGCCATAATCTGGGGGTGGGGGGAACAGGCAGGACATCTTGAGGAGTGTGGTGCAGAGGACAGAATCCACGAATCCCAACCCTCAACCTGTGATTCCCCCTCAGTCACGAGGCTGTGAGTGCTCCTTCCAGAGTGTTTGCAGACTTACAGGCTGCTACATTCCTACCTACGTTCCATCCTGGAGGGAGGTGCCTGAAAGCTGGTGAATTTCTGCTTTGAGCGAGATGCTGCCTCTTCTGTTTGACTGGGGGCACCTGGGGCACAGACCATGGAGAGAGCCTCGGCAGCCTGTGTGGGCCTCAGAAACCTCAATGCACTCTACAGCTGCCAATGGATCAGAGTTGGAAAATTAACGGGAATTTTGCAATGCAGGAAAAAAAGCACACGGAACTCAGAGCTGTGCTTAAGAGAACACAGGTTTTCATACAGGCTTCTTTTACTCAAACAACAGGCACACCTTTTATTCCTCCTTCCTGCCACCTTGTTCCCAGGCTCATAAAATGCACAGACTGCCCCTCAAGGTGCCTCAGCAGCTCAGAACTGTTAGTCACACAGTTTTTGAGACCTCACTGCAGCCAAAAGCAAAGCCTTCCTGGTGTGGACTTTCCTTTGCTCCTCAGTAAGTGAGAATCTGACAGCCATGGGCAGGCTAAGTGAAGGGACTGGTCAACCTTTTGTTGACTTTTTGCTGACCCACTGGAAATTCAGAGAGGCCTGCAGAAGCTCACTGATTCTTACTTTCCATAAAAGCCATTTCCCATCTCGGGGACACAAACAGGTGTCACCACAAGATTCCTAAAAGGGTTCTCTCAGCTTTGTCTCTGTCTTATCCCACTTTGAAATTGTCCTAATATTCTTGAGAAACCAGAGTTTTAGTCTGCCATGTTATGATTGCTAAACACTTCCACATCTCTGTGCCATGGCTTGAGAGGCCAGCTTTGCCTGAGGGAGCATCCAGGATATCAGACTGATTCTGCCAGGCTCGACTGGGAGTCTGATCTGACTCCATGGCGGACATGCCCACATGAAGCATTAATCTAATCTCTATCAATGAAAAACCAGGAGTCAGATATTGGAGTAAGAATCTGAAAGATTAGAGAAGAGGGAGCAGCTGTCAGTTAGTTCCCACTTCTTCCGTTCCTCCATCCGAAAGGGCCAGGTTCCTCTCTCAGACCCACCTTACTGCTTCCTGTCTCCTCTCTGTCCTCAGTCCTCCAAACCTCTATGGTCAGCTAGTGGCTGGCTGTGCTCTCTGACTCCAAGCAAGCTTTATTTGTCAGAACACAATCAAAATATCACACAACACCCATAACAAACAAGAAGTTGTCTCACACAAAGGGGGTGGTGAGACCAACAACGACTCAAGGCTGTCCTCGGACTTCCAAATGCACGTGCACACGCTCATACAGAGATTCTACAACCATAGACACACATATTACATTTTTAAAAATACATGAGTTAACCTATAAAGAGAAAAGTTTTGTTTTGTCTGATAGTTTGGAGGTTTTAGTCTTTCTTGTTGCTTTGGACCGGGAACATGGTAGCAGGACCTCATAATCGGGAAAAAAGCTCGGATGGAGAGCTTTTTTATTGGGGGAAAATGGGAAAACGGGGAAGGGGAGGGGGAGACCATTCTTTGGGGACTGGAGTGGCAGAGAGAGAGAGACAGAGACAGAGACAGAGAGAGACAGGCAGAGAAGCAGAGAGAAAGGAAGAGAAGGAAGTTGGGCAAGGTCCATCTTTTAAAAGGGAACATAGCAAAGGCGCACAGAAGGTGCTCTTAGTGGCTGCAGATGAGGACGTAGCCTGTGAGGACCTCAAGGGCAGACCCGTGCAGGTGCCTGAATACTAACAGGAAGAGTCTGGAATCTCACTTCCAGTAACGCAAAGATCTCACAATAGTCCTTATTTCTTAGAGGTTCCACTGCATCCCGGAAACTGAACACTGAAGTTCTCACCCAATCCTAAGGACCAAAGGGGGTCATCCTAGACACCACTCTCCAAGTCCCTTCCCACCAGTATTTTCGGAAATGCAGAAGGGCGTCCACAAGAACGAGTTCGACAGACTGCACGTTACATGGAAAGGGTGCTGGCAGGGATTCGGAAGTCACACTCTATTTTCCAGTGACGCTGACCTGGAAGGAAGCGGCCATTCCTCTGTGTGGTATATTCCATCTCTAGTGACCCGAGTTTTCAACTGTGAGGACGTTTAGTCATCAGCGGCATTTGTGGACACTGTGGAGAGGCGCAGAGGGGCCTGAATGGAGTAAGTTCAACTCAGTGGCGCCAGTGTCTGGGCACTAGATGGGCATCGCCTGTGACCATTTTCATTGCCTTCTCCTCACAATCACAGGCTGCACAGTCTTATGCTAATGTGGAAAGTAAATGCATTTCCCCTGCATGTGTCTTTCCCTTCCCACGTCACAGGTCATCGACCCACAGTCCTGAGTCATACTTGCCTTCCACATAACTGAAGGGGCGTGGTCCACTAGCCGGGATCCGGGCAGGAATGCAGTCTGCTCCTTCCTTCTACACATAACCATTGAACTATAGAGATTCATCCCCTGGTCTGGGCCCGTTCTCTCTCAAACAAAGTCACATTTCTCACAACGAAAATGGAGAAGAAAATGGAGTATCACACTATGAATAGAGTGACTGTTGTTTATAACTGTACATTTGTTAATGAGGGACTGGAGGGATCGTTCAGCTGTTAAGAATTTACACAACTCTTGCAGAGGACCTGAGTTAAGTTCCCAGCAGGCAGCTCACGACGGCTTCTACCTCCAACTCTAGGGGATCTGGTGCCCTCTTCTGGCCTTCGAGAACACTGCACTCACACACACATACACAGACAACACACATACATATGCTTTTAAAAATAAAGATTTAAAAAGAAAAAGAGCTCAAAGTGCCCAACACAAAGAAGTGATCACTATTTAGTGAGATGGAAATATTAATTTCCATAACTTGACCATTATATATTTTATACTTGAATATGTTATATACATCAAATTGTCATAATGTACAGAGAGAGAGAGAGAGAGAGAGAGAGAGAGAGAGAGAGAAAGAGAGAGACTGTTTAGAAATTACCAGGAATGATGTGTTTCAGAATTTCTGAAAGCCTGTCTCAGGACTAAGAGTTCCCAAAGTTACCTGCCAGAGAACCCCTCTGTCAATAAGCATCTGCTGAGACTTAAGTTCTGTGGAACACACGTTGGGGAACACCACCTCAGGACACTCTCAGTATTTCCTCCTCTTCATATGACATCACTTTCAGGCTAGACAGAAACCTTCCCTTCATCCCTAAGTAAATATGATTTTCATAAATTTCTGTCTTCCTGGTGTTTTTGTAAGTCTCTCCTTGTCCAAATCAAACCTGGATTCAGAATGACAATTTTTTTTCCTACTCTGCCAAAAGCCTCATACTCATACATTTATCCTCAAATATTTTCAGCTTCAAAGGTTTGAAAAGAAAATAAAAGGCAAGATTAAAAAAAAAAAGTCCTCAAATTCTGTCAGCTGTCCTGAAGAGCTTTAGAATTCCATCTTCCCCTGAATTCCGTGGCTACCCTCAAGGCTCTGCCCCGCGTGTTTCTGGTTTCTCTCTAATTAAACATTTAAGCTTCCTTTCTCCTGGGAGCCTGAACACGGTGTACACCTAAAGATCATTGCTGTGGGTTCTGTAGCTCAGGCTTAGGGGAAGCTTTGTCTTGTACCAAGTCTGTACAAGGTTCCCATACTAGGCACAGTCCTTAGGAACTGCAGCCAGCCTGGCTCAGGAAATGCGGATGCATTCAGCCTAAGCCTTCCATGTTGGCAGGAAGATGCAGATGCTCCTCCTACCCTTCACTCTGAGCCTGACCCGTGAAAGCACTGGATTTAGGGAGGCTGAGCCCAAGACTATCGAGGTCACTGATCCCCTGACGTTATACACCTCACTGTATAATCACTAGTTGATGAAGAAGATTGGGGAGCGAGGCATCTGAGGAGGTGACCTGGGTTCCCTAGGTCCTTCAGAATGTTCTCACTAGTTAACTGCTAAAGTTAACACAATGATACAAATTGCTATTTATTTTAAGGTTGGTCTTAATACAGACTCTCCCTTGAACATTCTAGGTCTCTTCTCTCTCTCTCTCTCTCTCCTATCTCTCTCTCTCTCTCTCTCTCTCTCTCTCTCTCTCTCTCTCTCTCCGTGTGTGTGTGTGTGTGTGTGTGTGTGTGTGAGAGAGAGAGAGAGAGAGAGAGAGAGAGAGAGAGAAGTTATGGGATTTTTTGTGAATTAAAAGAAAGAGATTAAAAACCACATTTTGTCCTTTTAGCTAAAAACTCACATTTAGGGCATTATTCAAAGAAGAATGAATTTCTAAAGCAGGTAGTTTGGCTTATGTTGACAGAACAGGAGAAGCCAGTTATGGCGACACACACCTTTAATCCCAGCCCTTGGGAGGCAGAAGCAGGTGAATTGCTGGGAGTTTGAGACCAGCATGGCCTACACAGTGAGTTCCAGGACAGCCAGGGCAACATAACAAAGAGACCCTGTACTGGGTGGTTTTGTGTGACAACCTGACACAAGCTAGAGTCATCAGAGAGAAAGGAGCCTCGGTTGAGGAAATGCCTCCATGAGATCCAGCTGTAAGGCATTTTCTCAATTAGTGATCAGTAGGGGAGGGCCCAGCCCATGGTGGGTGGTGCCGTCCCTAGGATGGTGGTCCTGGGTTCTATAAGAAAGCAGTAAATAGCTTCCATCCATGGCCTCTGCATCAGCTCCTGCCTCCAGGATCCTGTCCTGTTTGAGTTCCTGTCCTGACTTCCTTCAGTGATGAACAGCAATGTTGAAGTGTAAGTCAAACAAATTCTTTCCTCCCAACTTGCTTTTTGGTTATGGTGTTTCGTCACAGCAATAGAAACCCAAGACAGACTCTGTCTCAAAACAAAAGAGAAGGGTACCACTCCTACTTACTAAAAAAATAAAAATATGTAAACCCAACATCTTTGAACGTCTATTCAGGATACATTATTCTGTGCTTTGTGCAATTTTTTCCAAGTTCTTGCAACTAGAATAAAAAATTGAATGTTACTGCCACAACTTAAGCAGTCAAGACACCAAAGTTTCAAGAGGTTGTTTAGGGAGGTATAGAGAGAGACTGCTCATTCATTTCCTGGCTGCCCAAACCTAAATAATCACACAAAAACTATATTAATTGCAACACTATTTGGCTGATGGCTCAGGTATATTTCTAGCTAGCTCTTACATCTTAAATCAACCTATTTCTTTTAATCTATGTATCACCACGATGCTGTGACTTATCGGTAAGGTTCCAGTGTCTGTCTCCTTTTCAGCTACATGGTGTCTGCCTGATTCCGCCTTCTTTCCTCCTCTAACTCTGCTTGGATTTCCTGCCTTACTATATTCTGCCCTGCCATAGGCCAAAGCATCTTCTTTATTAGCCAATGGTAATAAAACATATTTATAGCATATAGAGGGGAGTCCCACATCAGAGAGGTGAAGCCATCAAGCTAGAGTCTGTGGCAAATACAAAGTGAGAAACACAATGATTACAGGCAGACTGAGGAGTCCTGACCTGGACCTGACTTGGTCATAGCAAAGCCATCACTTCATCAGGACCAGTGGCCTCACTGAGGCACAGAACATCCTCAATCCCTGACCCTCCAGTTCAGCTACTTCCTCTGGTAGCCACGAGCAACTTTTCTGGCGAAGAGGTGCTGAATTAAGTCACCTAGCACCCCGTCCTGAAAGCCATCCCTCACCCAAGGCTTCCTTCCCAGTTACTCTTGCTTCTATTACTGAGCCTATAGGATTCTCATCAAACTGAGACACAGGTGAAATGAAAAACTGTGGTCAATGGATCATTTAACATGTTTTGTTATAGAAGAGTCTCCGGTCTGGACCACAAAGTATCTTTTAAATACACACACACACACACACACACACACACACACACACACACACACACAATCGGAGAGGATAACATGAGCAAGGGTGACTCTCGTGTGACCGTGCTTAGACTGGGCTGCTCCTAGGGTGCCCTAGGGATTTTCTTTCCTTCTTTTTTTCATGTCTCCCAAACCACTTCTTTGTCTGAGGATCCCTCGCTGCCCTTCCTGTCTTCTACAGTGTCACCCCGTGCTTCGCCTGAAACTTAAATGAATCCGAGGACTCAAAGGGACAATGAGAAGCGTTACCTGAGGCAAGAAGCCACCTGCACTCCTTGAGGGATGCTGTTCTCATGTGTCCTGCCAGTTTGTACCAAGGGCATTCAGCACAAATACCTCCCCCAGCTCCCTTACTCGAGGAGAACCCCTCTGTGCTCTCAAACGGGTGGGTTCTGAAGAAGACACGGAAAAGGCTCCTGCATTCACATGGCCGTCCATATTAACTCGGTCTTTTCACTACAGGCAAATCAGGAAGAAATAGCAGGGTAACTGAGTTATCCCAAGACACAGCTCCTGCATCTGATCATGGCATGTTTTTAAGTACATTATGGAAACAGTAGCATCCCTGAGGCCATGCAACAGAACAGAGGTGAGCATTGTTGCAAGTCATTGGTTATTACCCCAATTAACTCTCTATAACCTAAAAGTCAAAACAATGTGAACTACTCAAAACATTTGCTCTGAATAGGCAATGCCAGCTGAGTTAGCAAAGCCTTTTTTCCCCTGCCAAACAATTGGCTTTGATTTTCTCTCCTCTCTGCTGCTGGTTCAATATAGCCGAATATTAGACAGAAATCTCTGCACAAAGTTCATGTATTACATGTGTTCAAGTATCATGTGTTCATTTGACAGACATTCATGCTTCAAAGGCGAGATGTGAAGGAAAGGTGGCGTGCAGGTGTCAGCTGACGAAGGACACTGGACACCGAGCAGGATACATGATGTAAAGTCTTCCCAGAATGTGGACAGTTGCTGGAGTGGGATAAATGAGCTGTGCACTCTTCCCACAAGGAACTGGTTGCATCTGAAAGATATGGAGAGAGAGAATCTGTATACAGAGAGTGGGTCTGTATGCAATCTGTATGCAGAGAGAGAGGGCGGGTCTATATGCAGAGAGAGAGAGAGAGAGAGAGAGAGAGAGAGAGAGAGAGAGAGAGAGAGGGTCTGTATGCAGAGAGCGAGGAAGAGAGAGCGGGTCTGTATGCAGAGAGAACGAGCTGGTCTGTATGCGGAGAGCAGGTCTGTATGCAGAGAAAGAGCGGGTCTGTATGTGGAGAGCGGGTCTGTATGCAGAGAAAGAGCCAGTCTGTATGCAATCTGTATGCAGAGAGAGAGCGGGTCTGTATGCAATCTGTATGCAGAAAGAGAGCGGGTCTGTATGCGGAGAGCCTGTTTGTGTGTGGAGAGCGAGTCTGTATACTTCACTCATGTCAGAGCTTGCTGAGGGAGAAGCGCACCTGTGATGCATTTGTACCAAGAGGGGTGGGTGGTCTGAGCTGAGTAATGGCATCCTGAGGTCAGCACAGTAGAGAAGATAGGTTCTCATTCAGGCTTTATGGCCCCTGGCCCAGATGCTCAAGTACTGGATTAGAAATAAGACTCCTAATCAGACAAGGTCAGAGTAGAGTAGCCCCGAAGATAGTATCAGCAAGGCCCCGTGGCAGCAATCGGTTTAAAATTAGTCTAAGTTAGATCAGTGTCCAGGGCTATTATGGCACCTGACCCGTAGCAGGACTAGTTGAGGAGCCGAGGAGATGGCTTGGTGAATAGGAGAACTTGCTATGTAGGCATGAGGACCCGAGTTAAAATTCCAGGACCCGTGGGTATGGCTCTGGGTGCCTATAACCCTAGCATGGGGTTGGAGGAACGCAAGTGGATCCAAGAGCTCACTGTTTGGAAAGCCTGTCTGTGTGAAATGGCATTCTTCTGGTTCAGGGAGAGACCCTGTCTCAAGGGAATAAGGTGGAGAATGAGAAGAAGACATTCAGCATCCTTTTCTGGTATCCAAGTATGAGAGCATAAGACACATCTACCCACAAATCGGTGTGTATCAACCATACACACCACCACCACCACCACCACCACTACCACCACCACCCACACCAAAAAGAAAGAAAAGGTAAAAAGTACTAGCTAAACAAATGAATGGCAACCTTAACATTACATAGAATTTAACTATGCCAGTTATGTCCCAGGATGTGTGTGTGTGTGTGTTGAATATCGCTGTCTTCCTTTGTCATTGTATAAACTATGATACAGCTGCAGTGTTCTCAGTGGCACAAAATAAGAAGGGAAGAAGGAAGAAAGGGAGAGGAGCGCTCACCCTTGTAGTCAGCCCAGTAGACCAGGAGGACTATCTACTTCTCCCTCATGCTCCTCCCTCTCCCCCAAAGATTTTAATTGTATGTGTATAGACCTGAGTATGTGTGCATGGAGGACAGGCGAGGTGTTAAAGCTCTCAGAGCTGGAGCTACAGGCATTGGAGGGATGTCTGGTTTCTTATGTGGATGCTGGGCTCTGAGTTCCAGCCTTCATGATGGTGCAGTAAGCGCTCCTAACTGTTGAGCTGTCCCCCTGCCCTAACAGCTGTCTCCTACTCATCATCAAGTCACAGTGGGATCTATGGGGGGAAGCTCTAAGCCCTGAGCACAAGCCCCCAAAACCTGGGCAGAATAAAGCCCGGTAGCTCAACCTGTAATCCCAGATACCTGGGAGGCTGAGGCAGGAGAATGGAAAGCTCATGGCCTGCCTGGGCAACTTCCTGAAACACTATCTCAAAATCAAAAATGAAAAACAGGATATACCTCCATGGTAGAGTACTTGCCTAGCAAGTGTGAACCCTAAGATTAACCTCTAATACCAAACAACAACAACATTTAGTCAAAGGTTAAAAAAAAATAAAGGCTAGAAGGTAGAAAATGGGGTATTGAAAGTCGAGAATCAAAATATTAGGAATTAGAGGCATTTTAGATAAAATTTAAAGATGAACAAAACCAAATTCTTCGATGGATATGCTGTGAATGTGGATATAAAGAAGAATTGGGTTTCATTCTGTCTAACATTTTAACAGTTTAATATAAACATTTTTGAATGTGGAGTGAATCTGTAAATTGTGTAGTAAAATGCCATCTCCATTTTATTACAATATTTCCATTATTCTGCCTTCATCATTTGTCATTCATCTGCCTCCTTTCAACAATTCAGTCTCAATTTTTGTGTTTGTACAGTGTTGTCATATAGCCACACAACTGTGACATTAGTAATGACAGAAGTCATTATTTATAGCAAGGTAAATATAGCCAGGATGGCTGACTGTCCTATAATACACATTTTCCCAATGGTAATAGAATTAAGTGTACATGTGGAAATTTATTATGGCAACTACATTTCCCAATCTCCATTGTAGCTAGTATGTTCATGGGACTAAGTTCTGATGAGTAAGCCATGAGAGCAGTTATCTGTAACTGTTTCCAGGCTCTTTCCCTAAGATGTAGCAAGTCTGTACCGTTCGCTTTCTCTGTCATCCCTTCCTCCAGTCTGCATTCTAGAATATAGAAGTCATTGTCTTGGACTGCAAGCCTGGAAAGGGCACTGTGAAGCCATGAACAGGAGGGAGTCAAGAGTTTTAAGGTATTTTCCCTCCCTCCCAGAGCTAATGCCTCCAGCTCCTTTGAACCACTTGTAAATAAAGTTTCTATCCTGTCCAGTCCCTCAGCCATCCAGTTCCAAATAAACACACAGAGGCTTATATCAATTATAAACTCTTTAGCCTATTGCTCAGGCTTGTTACTAACTAGCTCTTACAATTTAAATTAACCCATGATTCTTATCTATGTTTAGCAATATGTCTTGTTACCTTTTGTCAGTTAGGCATTCTCATCTTGCTTCCTCTGTATCTGACTGGTGACTACATCTCTGTCTTTCCTCTTCCCAGAATTTCCTTAGTCCGGTTGCTCCACCTATACTTCCTGCCTGGCTACTGACCAATCAGAGTTTTATTAAACCAGTACAAGTGACAAATCTTTACAGGGTACAAGAGCATTATCCCACAGCAGCCACTCTTTCCTTTTGCCAACGAAAGGGTATCACAGGGGCTACTCCCACCCTTCTTACTTTGCTGTATCAATTCAACATTTCCTTTCATCTCCTGCCTCAGAGGATTGACCTCCACCATCAACACCAGCTGTTTCCAGCAGTCCACCCAACTACAAATCCTTCCAACTTCTACTCCCCTCCCAATACTATGCCATTCACATTCACGATGTCATCTTGGGTCCCATTGTTATGCTTCGGCTGACAGCCTCTTTAAAGATGGAGGTGAGGTAAGGGTGGCTTCTCTTTTCCCCCTAGACCCAGAAATGCCAGTGTTGGGGCCCTTTGCTTTACAGAATCAGATGTCGCTTTACTTGTAGCCTGTCTCACTCACTGAGTGTAGTAACCATCACCTTAAAGTCTTTTATCCTTAGCCACATACAGATGCCTGCCACATGGCAGTTTAACAACCTAGAAAAATATTTTGAAATGATGCAACTGAACCAGAACCTAGTACCCTTTTTGTGTCTATTGCTTCTGGAAATCTCCTTTCGGTAGTATCTTGTTTGTTTGTTTGTGGGTAGAATATCGCCTGTGTACACCAAGGTGGCCTTAGTGTCACAGCCTTCTTGCCTCAGTCCCCAAGTGTTGGAATTACAGTGTGTACCAACCACAGCCAAAGTGTGAAAAGGTTGAGAATCAATGGAGTGGGCTTACCTGTTCCCATAATACAATAAAATAGATTTTTGTCTTGGCAGATCAAAACAGAGTTTGTACAGAAATAGCTGGCATTGTTTCTCTTCCTCCAGATTTTAGGGACTCCAATAACCTTAAGGAGGTACGAGCAATGTCTAAACTGAGTAACATGTCCCTGTAAAGTTCAGTCCTAGTTCAGAGACCAGGACACCCACTATGACTGTCTGTTTAGTAGGTCACAGAGAGAAGTTGTTGGAATCCTCAGGGTTCAAATGTGCTATCGACTCAATAACATGTTAAGAAACAAACACAAATGAAGGAACTTGTATTGTGATGCATTTGACTGGGAGGGATAGCAGCCCGCTGTGTATATCCATGGTACAAAAATACCAAACCACAACCCAAAAAGCACATGCTTCTAAAGGTCACATTTAGCTTTGAGCCATCAGGTTGGCCAAAAATGACAACAGGGATGAAAATGTTTATGGTTTTTAAAAAAATAGACGGCAACACCTTTCCCACTTGGTTCCTTGCTGGTTCAGAACTGCCTCGCTCCTGGACAGCAGCTTTCAAAGCAATCTCAGCATTGCAAAGCTGGAGAATTTTGGTTTTGGATTTTTCCCCAGGATAGGATTTTGAGTATCTCAGATGAGTAGCCTTGAACCTCTACCTTAGGAGGTAGAGGTTCTCCTGCCTCTACCTCCCAAGAACTGGGACTGGCATCTCTCAAACCATCACGCTTTACTAAATCTATAGATTCTGAAAGATAATTATAACTATCACCTCTACAAAGGTAAGAAAACATCTAAATTATTTCAGAAAACTATCATTTTGGGGCTAGAGATGTATCTCAGTGGTAGAGCATTTGCCTAATGTGCTTAGGGTCTCTCTCTCTCTCTCATACACACACACACACACACACACACACACACACACACACACACACAC